TGAGACTAAGGAAAATTAGCATAAGTTCGAGAAAAATGCTTAGAATCAATGTGTACAATAGATCTCATAACATCCTTGGAGAAACTGTTCTAGAACGAGCCGTGTCGCAACGCGTGCTGACTTCACCATAACAGTAAATATTTCGGAGGGATCCTTGTTCAACGAAGTCGAAGCGGGTGTTGTAAAAGAAATGCAGGCGACAATCACTGCTGATGGAAGGTTCTGTTCAGCTTGCTATCAGACTACATAAGATGTATTATTTACGTTAATGAATATAATGTATGCCAGTAAGTATGTGTGTGTGTTGAGAGAGAGATACCGAGAGAGAAACATTGTGCACCCTAATTGCATGAACACGAGCCGTCACTGCTCACTACCCATGAAGGTGTTAAAAGAGAAGGTAATAGATGGCAGTGCAAGGGAAGGGATTTTCCTCTCCTCCACAGTCTCATTAAAAACCAGTGGCGGCAATAGAACGGCACCCGTATTAGTTTTCTATTTTCTAAAGTCTCCGCTAGGTATTCGGACTTGCCACATACTCTTGCCAGCTGCCATCTATTGCCACCCAAAGTACACTTTTTTGAAAGTTTCTTAAATTTTCGGTTTGCTAATAGTAGAACGGAAATATTATTTTAAGAATATTAAAGAACAGTAAAACCTCGTCCTATATGGAAATATATTTGTAACATTTGCAGCCATTTTTCAGAAAATTGCGTTTAAGCGCTACTAGTAACTAGAAATATTGAAGCTTTTTCACAGAAATTTTTTGAGTTATCAAAAACCTTCATTAGAAGTTATTTGAAGTACATTACGAGGGTTGCCTTTTATATTTCAAGATTACAGAACAAAAACCAATATTAATAATCGAAAATCACTTGTTTAATCAATCTATTGTTTTTCAAAATATTCCCCATGATCTATACACTTTTGCCACTCTCATTGAGGTGTCTCCAAAACGGGCTCTGAATGCAGCAACCGCTTCATGTGTCGAAAAACGTTGACCTCTCAGTTTGATTTTTACGTACGGGAATAAAAAGAAGTCAGTCGGTGCCAAGTCAATACGGCTAGATGTTTTGTGTGCTCAAAATTGCAGTAGTTTGAGCCGATGTGTGAGAGCTCGCATTGTCGTGGTGAAGAGTGATCCGTCTTCGGCGGTTGGTTTTCCTGATTTCTTGGAAGACAGCTAGCAAACAAATCGTTGTGTACCACTCAGAATTGACTGTTCTGCGTTGTAGTGGGACGGTTGCGACAGGTCCAGTTTTTGCGAAAAGACAGGCGACCATCTGTTTGTAATGTGCTTCGTGCGCGAACTTTTGTTGGATTTTGCTCATCTTGAAACAGCCATACAGTCGACTGCTGTTTACTTTCGGGCTCATACGCGTAAATCATAGATTCATCACCTGGCAAGATGTCATATATGTGTTTCGAAGCACCGCGATCGTATTTTTTGAGCATTTCTTTCGAGCAATCGACACAAGCCTTTTTTTGAGCGATTTGATGCCAAATTGTGTGGGATCCAACGCGAACAAATTTTTTTGACAAATGTTCATGCAATATTGAGTGTATGCTGGTCCCACTAATGCCTAAGGTTGTCTCAATCTCACGATAGGTCACATGACAATATTGCAATATCAGTTCACGCACAGCATCAATGGTTTTTGGAACTGATTTTGGACGACCTTTGAGAAATTCGACTTGGAGTGAACTACGACCACGATTCAATTCACCATACCATCGATAAACACGGGTCCTTCATGGAGCTTCATCGCCAAAAATTGAATTAAGTTCATCCATGCACTGTTGCTGAGTTAATCCACGTCGAAAGCTGTAAAAAATAATCGCACGAAAATGTTCACGATTTAATTCGTTTTGGGCCAAGATGAATCTTTTAAGTTACTGTAAACAACACAAACAGCGCTCGTATGTCAAAACATTCTGAGTACGTATAACCTGAAAACATCCAACTTTACGATAGAGCTGTCAGTTGCCCGATTGCAACACCAGGATTGCCAAACCTCGAAAAATAAAAAGCAACCTTCGTAATTCACGAATGCATTTGTTTGCAAGTAGCTGAAAATGTAGATATTTCCGGCGTGAGAGATCTTTAAAAATTACATTTGTATAGTTTTTGAGAGAAAAAAAAGACACCCCAAAATGAACTTTACGTCAATTCAAAAAGTGCAATTCCGTTCGAAAAGTATGAAGAAAGAATTTGGAGCCGTTTTTGAGAAAATGGCGTTTGAGCGTTTCTGTAAATGTAAGAGCATAGTAGTTAATGTATTTTGAGCTAGTTTTCGTAGAAAACGATTAAGTTTTCGAGAAACTTTACTTTATTTAAACAACATGTACTCATAAATATAATGGGAACAAATCGCCACCAATGTAAATATTAACGACGAAGACAAGTCAAAAAAAATTGTAATTTTTAAAGAAAAAAACAAAGCACTACAGCAAATTGATGTTATTCATCTCAGAGTACATTTAACATTATCTCTACCAAAATGTTAAGAAAAAATTTGGAGTCATTTTTGAGAAAATTTTGTATATTATTTTTTAAAATTGCACATATTGCACGCATTCTTGCGCGAATATTACTAAAATTTTCAAAAAATGTACATGATCTTGAGAGAACTCACTATGAAGAAATAATTTTATTTGAAGGAAAAATACTTATCTTCAATTTCGTAGTTGAAGGAAGACGCCTGGAAAGTTTCCAAAATTCAGAGTTAATCCTGAAAATTGGACATATGCCACCTTATGTGTATTTTACTCTATTTTTATAAGAAATTTAAAGAAAAAAAATGGAGCAGTTTTTGAGAAAATTTTGAAAATGTCCGGGACCTTCATATAAAGTTCCACCAAATTTTGAAGAAAGTTTTTCAAAATCGCAGCGCCTCGAGTACAGCCAGATCGACAGGAGAAAATGCATTTTGGAAAAAAAATCCTACGAATGATTTCACAGTAGTAGTGTTCACAGATGGGCAGACGTTTAGAAAAAAACAAAAAAACAACGGTATCAGGGAACCGCAAAACGTGAAATCTCGAAATCGACTTTCCGGAACATTACATAACTTTCCCTATACTACATATAGTACACCGTATATACGCATGTATACGGGAAAGTAAAAACGTTTTCTCTTCTGGTCGTAGGAGCGCTGAGAGGCGATTAACACGCGAGAGGAGGAAAGGCTGAGAATTCCTCCCATGATGAAGATACGTGGGCTCCTCCGGTGTACTGGTTTTTGCTCGTTCTGCGCTGCATCAGTTTGCGTCACGAAGCATGGAGAGCCCGAAGTGTTGAGAAACATTTTGAAAGTGGCATAAAATGTCAATTTTCAACTGTGATAAACGAACATAACACGGTGTAATTGAGATGAAAGATTCAATATTTTAAAACAAGTGCTTCATGTATGTTTCGATGGCTTATAATAGTAATGGTTTTGGTATCTGGCTGCATTTAAAATTTCAGACTAAAATTGTGACGCAATCTTGCCTGAAGTTCACTGGCTGAAAGTCTGATACGATGCGCAAGAGTCCACCCATCTCCTTCCACCATGGACCCAGGCACACGGTGGTGACAAGAGGCAAGCGCCGGTCAGTCCCACACTTTTGACCTCACTGGCCGGACGCGGAGGCAGCAGTGGCCGAGTCCAGATTCAACCTTTGAGTGGTAACAAAATTTATTGCGTTAACACCGGCCTCTCAGGCTCTGCGATTTTTTCGTGTTATTTGCACATTATTCAATAATACATAAATATTCATATATATATATATATATATATATATATATATATATATATATATATATATATTTCAATCAAAATTTTCGTAATATGCTTCTTTTAAAATTGGAATTACATTTTTAAAGCAGATTTTTTCAGGAATGTTTGAGGCCAGTGTGAAATTCAGTTTCATATATTTCTTCAATTCAATTACATGATTATTACTAGAGGTTTGCATTCTCCGGCCCGCGCTCGCTCGCCCCGCTTTCTCTCGAGACCATGCATTCGACCGTCCATGGCAGCCGGTTGAGGGTTCTCTTTCCAGTTCCTCATAAGGGCACCTTCGATTCGTTTTGGATAGTTTTCGCGCAGTTTAAAACGCGATCAAAATAACCCACATTCATGTAATCTCTAAATTATTAATTTTCCCCGCAAACATAGAACTAAATGTTTTATTTTATGATTTCAAGCAGAAGAAAATATTTAAGAGCATTCCTCCCTTGAGAAACTGCTGGCAGTCACAATCTTGCATCTCATCTATTTATCTTATTACACGTTTGCAAATACGTTTTTTTTAGCGATTCGATTTTCGATACAAAAATTTAAGTCCCAAGTAAAATATTTTCTGCCGCACAACTGTTTCTATACAATTAGGGACTATACTGAGCATCCAAAAGGAAACTAATATTAATTTTTTAAAATGACATTTAATGTGTTATCATTTGGATTGTATAATTGTAAAGAATCTGTAACTAGTATTGTACTTCAGCTTCTGGGTCACTGACACTCATCTCGATCAGTTTTTCGTCCAGTTTCCCTGATCCTCGAGCAAATGATGAGATGGCCCCATGTTTTGCATCTGGACATAAATGTAATTTCGAATTAACTTCTCCCCATAGCACGTCATACACATACAAATAAAATAAATAAGTGATTGTTAACCTCCATTAAATTTCCTGATACTACCAGCCATAATGCTCAAGCATTCCAACTCAAAAACATTTTATGAAAATATAGGTAGTTCAAGGAGATAGAAAGATGATTCGTATACCTTTCATTTTACGGTTGTGAAGATCTGTAACTGTCTTAGGTAATACCGCGAGTGCTTTGGAAATTGTCGATGAATCCCCGACTCGCGAAGCGAGATTTATCCGAGAATTTCCACGAGTAAACGAGTCTGACTATTCCACGAGTAAAATTATGTCCAACAGAATTCCGAAATGCGCCAAAATCAGAGAGGTTATGATATAATACAAAGGCGGTTTATTGGACATTGACATAGCGATCGATGAATACCGCCTCGTAAGATAGATGAGTCACAGTTAATGTCAGGTCAGAAGGGAGAAGCGGTAAGAAAACTCGATAAACTTTTTGAAATACACTGCCCTGATTGGGGCATTTATAGGTGTAGTTGAACACTGTTGGATTTAATTTCACGAGTGGAATAATCTCATAGTAAATTTATGACGACCATATGTCCGACCACTTGGAATAAGGCATTGTTACATTGACATTGAGCAAGCATTGATAATCAGAAATTTAATTCTTAAAGACAACTTTCTATTCTTAATTTGTTAATAAAAAATAAGAATATACATTTAGTAGATTTCTAGTAAATATTAGCAGTACCCAGCAGACGCAATACTCTTCAGATTATGTCATTATTTCTTATCAGGTGACTAGCTCTTCTACCACCCTTCTCCAAAGTTTTTATGTTAAGACACACATTTGCAGTTAACTCAACCACTTATTTAAAATGCATTCCGAAGTTGAGTCCATGAACAACAAACTTTTTAAAAATAATAAGGATCAACAGAACCCATTAGACATTAATGATACTTTTCTTTCTTTTTTCAATGTTTCACATCAATTTTTCTCACTTCTTACCTGTATAAATCAACAAATTACACAAAATATTAATTAAAAATATTAGCAAATAATGAATTAAATAAATATTGAGAAAACAATTCTATTATTTCATACATACTTACAAAAATTATACATTTTTTTATTTACTTTTCTTCTTTTTCTGCTTTTGTTTTGTTTTGCTCCCATGAATTGTACGAAAGGTAATGCACTAAAATAAATATGCTGATTAAGGTAATATGATACATACATAGCAAAAAAATAAACAATTATAAAATATTTTACCTTCTCATCAAGGTATTCCATTAGCTGTGTTAATTTGAATTTATAACTTAGTGCTTTAAGACCTTCCTGGAGTTGTTCCAACCAAATAGGTTCATATAAGAGCACTTGTTGATGGAACTCTGGAGTTTTCCTAATATAATTGAGAACTACACCAGGTAATTGTGATACATCGATCTGAGTCAGAGCATAATCTTCTGCTGGGTCTTCAAGGACTTCAAATTGGCATTGTGAGCTTGATGAACTAAAAATTTAACACTGATTGTAATTTGTTTCCAAACCTTAAAATACCAAACTAGAAAGAATAGTGCAAATAAAAAAGAAAGTTTAAATATGCCTCAATTTTGCATTCATACTTTGCATTATGAAGTATTTACTTTACCTTTCTTGCGTAGAAGGAAAGGAAACTTCATTCTCTGAAGAAATTTCAGCTTCCTCACTAGAACTAACTGTGGCAGCATCATCCTTATCCATTTTGTTGTTCTTTTTTGATTTTTTTGGTATAGACATTTTTTTAGCCCGTTTTTCTGTGCACGAAAAAGGCATTTCACTACCTGCAGGACTGCTGACAGGATGAGATCTACCATCCTTTGAGTGGACAGGAACTAAAGGATGCAATTCATTATAAATGTGTCTCAAAATTTGTTTAGCTCTTTTCCGTTTCAGTGGTTTCAAACCATACTTTTGAAGTTCCTTCTGTAAAAGAGACAAGTAAAAAATATTTATAACAATTTTAATGATTGTCATGCATTTATTGATAAAAAGATTCCAATTTATTTACAATCATAATGTTATTGGGAAACCAGTCATATTAATTAAAGTTAAAATTTGAATAAAACACAAAACTTAGTTTATTTTTAATATTTGGTCTTGATGCATTCAAAGGGACCATCTGAGAGGTCGGCATAAGTTTGAAATGCAGGTGGAAATGATCACTTCCATACACGTCTAATATGGTCTACAGCAAAGAGCTTGCAAGTGACGGGCTGCAAAGGGCTATGTCAATAGACGTCCTGGAGTTCATTGCTGAAGAGAAATGTGTGGGTTCACCTGTACGAAGAATAATAGCGTTGGGGGTGACTATGACTTTCCAGAATGACACCCCTCTGACAAAACGCTCCAAAGTGGTATGTTGGAGTTAACATCCCCAACAATCTAAAACGGTGTAGGCAGTATCAGGCCCAATAAATCATCGGTCGACACCATTTACCGCGGAGGGCTGAAAACATTACATAGCAAGTGTGATGCATGGGAGGTACACCTCACCACAGTTTGAAGGTCGGTCTGAATAGTTACCTCTGTAGAAAGCAGCTATTCGTGAATGAATTTAGTAACTTCGCCGTGAGGGTGGAGGTCGTAGATAGATTCCATATGGAGACAAACCGCTAAAAGAAAAAGGGGCATGGTGTAATTAGATGTCTCACCTGTAAACAGATTATCGCAACATATAAGGGGGTTTTAGATCGTCCCGTCGGACGCAAAAGAAATTAAGTTCCAGGACAGGAGAGCAATACTGCGTGTTGATTTCAAGTCTTGATCTTTTCCTTCTTACGTTTCCGCCGTTGTTTCTCGAGGGGCGAGTGTCCACCACGGCTGAAGTGTCATCCTCAGCATTTCTCGGCAGGCTCAATTTCTGCTCGGAGCGTGTTTCAAGTGTCGGAGTAGATGGCCGGGGCTTGGAAGATCGGTCAGTTGGAAGAGATTCAGGGATGGATAGCCAACTGATACCGCATTCGTGCGTGGCAGAGTGGATGTGGAGGCTTGGGAGGACTTGGCCGGCTGAGTAACTCTCGGTCTGCTTGTATTTGCTGGCAATTATTTTCCTTGCAGAGGCGATGTCTCCTCAGAGAAGTCCACAGGCGTCACCTGGCAACACATGTGCGGCACTAGGGGAGCAACAGGTGAAGTTTGGCAATCCGCTTTGTTGCTTTAAGCCTTGGTCATGGCACTCGAGAAGGCTTGTGAGACATCTTCAGGTTTCTTCGCCAGATACAGACGTTTGGTCTCGGGAAAGGACACGTTCTCGGTGACTGAACTTGAGAATCCCCCTCGCTTTCAGAAAGCTATGGCACTTCTGAGAGTTGGCCGCATGGTCTCCTTCATAGCTAACACAGTGTGGCGGTGCCGCACACGGTTTTGCTTCGTGCATTTTGCGCAGACCGGGCTTTCTGATACGCATCTTTGTAGCGTACAAGCGAACCTTTGGCATTTCACAAAACGCAAAGAAGGGGGGATTCAACGTTAGAATCAGAGTAGGAGTGGGGATCTCTTTCCCAAGCTTCTTCCTCTTTATTTGGTTATGAATTAGAGAATGGTAGGATTTTTTCTGGATTACGGCACAGAGGATTTTGATCTAACAATTTTTTATTATGAGAGCACTTTATTGAAATTAATTATCGGCCGCTTTTAGAGGCTCTGACACAAAAGGCGGCTGAGACGAAAAGATCCAGCATGAAAAAATATTAAATATGGATGACTGAGAATGCCCCTCGGTCCTAACGGCCACATTAAGGCCTGCAGAACTACAAGTAAATACAAGTGACATGAAAAGGAAGAGGATGGAAGCTACACAAAGGAACACATCAAAGCAGTCTTTGCACCTTCCCGGAGACCTACCAACCTCGACGAGTTGGTAACCTTGTTACGTCTTCGTTGGAAGGAGAAAGCCATTACTTATTACAAAAACATATAAACAAGCAAAACAATTATTTTAGAATTGTATAACTTATACAAGAAGGAATGCTTCGCTGTTTTGAAACTACCCACTTAACAAATGAAATATTCACAAATTGATTTGATCAGCATATAGAAGATTCTAACAAATTACTATTTTATAGAATATTTGGATCAATTTTCTCAGGAATCTAAAATCTGCAACCGAGAGGATACACCCCAAAATTGAAAAAGGGTGACCCTGATACAAAACCCTACCCCAAAATTCTTGGAACACAGTAATGGATATTCAAACTCCAAACTCTGGGGTTGAAGCAAATACTGTTTAGTTTTAAAAGGATGAGGGATAAACTTCTAAATCGTCTACTGATCCGAATCTGAGCTCACCCTCCCATCTGCTGACCGGACTATAATATGGGACTGTGGATCGGGCATCTCAGACACCTCTGGGAAAGTGTAAAGTTGTGGATAAATTTCTGATCAACCTCGACACCCTAGTTATTGAATTCTCCATCCCTGATTCGTAACTAAAGGGAGGTTCGATGAACGGAGTAGCTTGGTCACTCCTGCAGTGTTTGAGCTGCATTTGGAAGGACATGCACGCTTACATTTATTCAAAATCATTTGATAATTTTCAGAATCGATGTTTCTCATTATCATTTTACAGTATTATATTATTATTATTATTATTATTATTATTATTATCATCATCATCATCATTATTATTATTATCATTATCTCAAAGAAAATAATATTATTGACAAGGGCCACTATGGCTTTCAAAATGGGAAATGGACTGAACAGCTACTTAACAAAGTAGGCAACTATATTGCAGAGCAATTAAATAAGGGACAAGGAACTCTTGCATTACATATAGGTTATAGTAAAGCATTTGATATGGATGACCACAAAATATTAATATAAAAACAGAAAGAAATAGGACTCCCAGATCGTTCTAAAGCTTTTTGAGAGTTACTTATCAAATAGAAAATTCATTGTTAAACTTGCAAATACAGAAAGTTCCTTAAAAGATGTTAAATATGGTGTACCACAGGGAAGTCAATTGGGACCAATTTTATTTATTGTGTTATTATTTATGTGAATAGCCTGTTCACAAAAATTAAGAAATACAAATTATATATGTATGCCGATGATGCAATACTGTTATATTCTCACAAAAACCTAAAGTTGTGCCAAGAAATCATAGAAAATGACTTCAACTCCCTGCTAAAATGGTCATACAATAATAATATTTTGTTAATCCAAGTAAAACTAAATTAATGTACTTCAAAACACCACATATGCAAAATCCAAAAATTGAAGGAATTAGATTTTCATGTGCATAAATGCCTCATTAATGACCAAACATTGCCCTGTAATTGTGCGAGACTAAACTTAACCACAGAATATAATGATCTAGGTGTAACGTTTACCCACATCTGAAATTTGAAAAGTACTAATATATTATTTGACAAAATTAAAAGAATATCTGGCTGTCTATGCTGCAAAAGATTATTTAAACAAAAGAATTATGATCTCCTGTACAAAACTTTAGTAGAGTCAATACTAAGATACGGTGTTAATATATGGGTGGGGGGACTAGCTATAATTATCTGTCTAGTGTAACTAATCTGCAATCAAAAATTCTGAAAATGATCATGAATATCAACACAATGGATATCAAACAACTTCGAAAAGAAGCTTTATACTTTGAACCCTTATGGTTTCTACAAATTTTATCATATAATTATAATAACCAATTTAAAACAATAGAGTTAGATAACTATGCATTCAGAAGAAAAAAATATATGATCCCACTCACTTTCAATAGGTATGGAGAAAGATCTTTAAATTGTGTAACACCAAAATTATACAATGAACAGCCACAACATCAAGAACTTGACCCAAACTTTAATAAATTCAAGAAAGAACTGAAAATGTGGTTACAAAACACTTAAATAGGCCAATAAATACTCTGATGAGATAATGTAAGGACTGCAGAAAGCCAATATTTATGTGTAAACACTGTATTTAGGATAGTTACATAATTATTTTGTGTTAATTTTGGTATACATACTGGTATGTGTTATACTTAAGTGACTATATTAAAAATAAGAACATACAACTACCAATGTGATTTTATATATTAATTAAAAATATACTGTTATATAAACTATAAGTATATAGACTTAGAGCAAAATTTAAAACAATTTCTAAAAGAGGTAAATCTATTATGTATTTTTTTCTCAATTTTGTTATTTTGTAAATAATCATAAAAATATTTGAAATGTTAACCATTGTTTTAATCGTGTTATAGGTTAAATAATATTGCCCAAGATTGCAATTGTTACAAATAAGATTTCTATGTTTTCAACTTTGCATTGAATTATTTGTGGTAAAATATTTCATAAGAATGGGTTTAAATGTAAGGTAAAATTATAGTGTGTCAACATTATGAATTTAAAGAAGAAAATATTGCACAATTCTGTAATAATGGGCACCTGATGTTAGGTCAGTTTGACTTATCAGGACCCACAACAAATTTGATGGAAAATAAATAATTCTATTCTATAATAGTAATAATAATAATAATAGAACTAATAATAATAATAGTATTAATAATAATAATAATAATAATACTATTACTGTTATTACACCAAAAATAAATTATTAATTTTCAGCTTTACTATTGCTTTAAAAATATTTAATATTCAAGACTTTTCTCATGTTGTTGTTGTTGCCGCCAAACTAAACTACAAAATGTTCCTTGTTTTGTGAAACACAAGGCATTCCGTTTAATTTGTAAATAGATTATATTATTCATTACTACATGCAGAGGACACTGGCAAAGGTTAGCCTTTACAAGAGCATCTACTGTCATTGTAAAAACAAAAAATGCAATAACATACATACCTTTAACATTGGTGTATCCATGCCACTATAATCTGCCATGGGAGTAACACAATTATCTCCATCTTTGATACTTTGTAAATGTTTACTGAAAACTTTCTTTTTTGATTGTGTAGAGTTTGGAGTTGAACATGGCCAACTTTCAGAATCAAGTTTTCTCGCCAGCAAATTCCTCTCATGTTCTGCTGTAAATGAATCTTCAAGCAGTCGTTTAACAGAATTTAAAGACCTGTTGGGAGTCCTTTGAACATGAGTAGATGGAGTTGCAGGAGATGGCACATTAATTTCTAAAGAAATCCCTATTTTTAGATCATCGCTTTCCACATCACTTACAGACAGAACTTTATTTTTATCTGTATTAGTATCGTGTGATGATTTTAAATGTATACTACTTTGAGATAAACACTTTACTGAAATAGGGGAAGGTGAAAAAGCATTGTAATTTAGAGAAATATCAGAATTAGATCTGGTTCTTGTCAAAGCAAGTTTCTTCCTTGAATGTCTAGTTCTGTGAGAAAAAGAAGAATCTGCTCTTGATAAACTTTTTACACTCAATGGAGAAGAAAATGGTGATTTACTTGTTTCTTCTGTTTTGAAAAGTTGTTGTTTCCCCATGACAGGATTTTCGACACTTTTCTCAGCACCATATTTGGGTTGAAATGGTATTTCCTCACTACAAGGTGAATAATTTGCATAATAATTTTGATATTCATAATCTGCACAAAAATCACCTAGTAAATCCGTACTTGTATCAACTTTGTCAACAGCATCACTCAATTTTTCACTGCTAATGCTTGGGCTGCATTCTATTGTGACCACATCATTCATAGGACTTGAACCATCTGTATTCTCAACCTCTTTCAATACTTTCTTGGAACTAATTTCTTTAGTACTTCCACCATTAGAACCATTGACTGAATCTTTTCCTACTGATTCAACACTATTTAGAGAATTGTTCTTGCAGATTTTTGGACTATGACTGATTTTCACTTCAATCTTTTCAACTGATAAAAAGTTTTCTCCTTCACCAGAGAAACTTGAGAGAAGAGATTTTCGGACAGAATTTCTATGATTTGTACAAATTTGTTTCACATCAAGAGAATCACAATAATCAGACTGTTTTCTCTTTTTAATAGTACTAGCATTGTAGATATCATATTTTTCATCTTCAACAATTTCTACTTCTGATGATTCCCTCACAAACCCACAAGTTCCTGATAGTTTGGAGTCTATTTTACTTCTACCTTTCATTTCAATTGGATGAAATTTCTCATCTTCATCCATATTCAAAGCTTCTAATAGATTATCCATATTTTGTTGAGTATTTGGAAATGAATTTTTCCTGGTAGAGGAAGTATTTATAATTTCATTATCACAAGAGTCTACAAACGGATCAGGAGAGAGGCAAGATTCATGAAGAGAATCATTTTTCTTGGAAGAACCCACAAATATAGCTTTATCACTACTTTCACAATTACTTTCAATAAGCTTTTCTTTCTCCTTTCTCACATTATATACAGGATCTATTGATCTCTCTATGTTTGTTTTACAGGCTGACGCAAGATGAAAATTACCAATTGTAGCCTCATTGAAGTCAGAATTATATTGTTTTACTACTTTTGAATTTATATCAGAACTTGTATCATTCCCGTTTTGACGTTTAGCTATCCCAAAATAGTTATCTTCATTCATAATACACTTCAAATAAAAACACAAATCTTCAACACAATACTTCATACTTAAAAATATTATTTCATCAGCGCAATACTTCAAATCATTAATTTTGCAAGTTGAGCCACAATAAATGAAGTCTAAGAATGCAAACGCACAATTAAATGATATTTTATCCCATATAATGTACTTCATTGTATCATTTGCTTGCTTCACATCAAGTAAAATATTAGGACACCTTACAAACAAAACTAACTCGTGGACATAAATCTCTTCACCACCTTGCACACGAATTTTGATATCACTCATTGAACTGTTATTGAGCATATCACTCCAATCATCAATAAATCTAGGAACAAACTGACTTGATTTTTCCACAAGAGCAGTGGCAGATTTTTTAGCAAGAGCAGTGGTGTTAATATTTTCTTGATTGTCACTCCTACCACACTCTGAAAATAAACTTTCCTCTTCATTTGTTTGCTGACTCAAACTATCTTGTGAGAAACCAGTCATTATTTCATTTTGTTTGCCCATTGGATTAAATCTTGTGTCTTCAACTGTTCTTGGCAAACATTTTTCCTAAAATAAAAGAAACATATCTGATAGTTATTAATATAGTAAATTAACATTCAGGGCTTATCACAACAACCTCTCCCAAGTACAATCTCAACCTACACGCTTCTAATTGCACAGCAACTCTCTACCCTCAACCACCACTCCAGCAACTGTCTTCACTACATTTGCTTATCACTAGATGTCAGATTTTAGAACAAATGCCTATTTAGTTCCTTTACGAGATGGTGGAAAATCATTGTACATGTTAACAAATCATGGAAAAATAGATATAGTGCCTAAAATGTCCAAAAGAGCAGACCATGCCTATTTTAATTCTTTTTTGTGAAACTGCCTAAAACAAGTAATACTGAACAATTATATTTTAATTACTAATTTTTAAAAAAATTGTTACATTGGAATGCAAATACTTTCCTGAAACGTGAATATTCCCTGACCAAATACGTAATTTACTACACACCAAAATCTCTCATCCAACACACCGAACCTAAGGAACTCTGCAAGTCAATATAAACTGGATGTTTCACTCTTGTCTGTGATCACCACATACTTCTTAGGTAATTGCACCCATTCCCGGTGCAGCTGCGCTCTTGACAGGTCGAGAATGAACAGTGTGAAAGAAAGAAAGTGAATAAAATAGTCATTCTCACAAATGTAAAAATACTTTTATTTTCCTGAATACTAAAAAGTGCCTACTTTAATCTTTTTGTGATCAGTTTTAGATCCCAGAAACTTATCCTTTTATATTTAATGTTTTTAAATGTCTGGTTTAGTAATTTTGTAACCTATTTTAAGCACCTAAAACATCACTGTGTCCAACTGAACATAATTTCATAATTTTGTTTCCCATTTAAGGTGCCTAATTCATCACTTTTTTGTGCCTAAAATTCCGAGAATTATTAATCACTCACCCCACACGCACTCTCACCTTTCTTATCTGCGACACAAACAAATGTCCTGCATAAATTTGGTTTTATATGAATATCGCAATAAAACTAGTATTGTTTTGCACTATAAGGCAAAAGGATCCAAAAGTGATTATTGAGTTTTTTAAATTAGTAATTTAAGCGAGTCTTATTTGTTATGATTACAAAGCCATACATCATGATATTTATAACTAGGTTTACCATCTCCTAGCATAATCAACAAAAGATAAGCCACAATATGCACATTTGTTATTGCTTTACATAATAACTTGTTTTTATTGTCGATGTAATTTTTGTGTGAAACTGACTGCTAGATGTTGCAAGTTTTGTATTTTAAAATGTCCAAATTAATGGTATTCCATCATTTTTAAAAATAAGATGGCATGAAGCCTCATCTTCTCTTCTACCATAAAAACCTTTACTGTATTTGCAGGAGTGTATGATGTACCCCATTTTCACCCACAATTTTGTGAAGAAAAGAAAAAGTAATTTTCTATTTTAGATTATAATATTTCAATAAACAAAACATTGCGATTTTCTAAAAATGCAAAATATACCTCTTTATTCAAACAGGAATATAAATACAAACAATAAAAGAAAGAAATATATCAATGTCAAACCGTAAAAACACGCACGCACGCACACGCACGCACGCACACGCACGCACGCACACACGCGCGCGCGCGCACGCACGCACACACGCGCGCGCGCGCACGCACGCACGCGCGCAC